TTGCGGGCATCGCATTTCGCCCATCCCAGCATCAGCCTCCAGGGTTATGACCCTAAGCTCTCGAATTTAATCCCTAGTTATTTGTCTTATTCCGTATTTTGACATTGTATTGATTCATAAGCCTTAAATAAACTGATGAGGTTGTCCCGCATTACCTGGATAACATTGCCCTTCTCTACTCTCTCTCTCTCTACATTTTCAAAAACCCTGTAGGCATACGAATTTTTCAACAGAATGCACCAAATTGATTATATATTATAACCCAAATGTTTTTCCATGTCCTGACTGCATTTTGGTTGACGTTTTTGCTACACAAATCACAATTTGACAGATACTGACAAGCGAGGATTGGAATGAAGCTATGTACAACGGGATACGGTCGTATTCGAAGAGCAGTGTTGGCATTATGGTCTGTCTTTACTACGTGATTCTATTCATCTGTGGCAACTGTATCCTTTTCATGCAGTTTTTGTTCGCGCAAATTATTATTAACATGTTTCGTTTTTTTGGCGGGGGGGGGAGGGACTTCGATTATGTTGTTGGTGTAGAAGTTATTTTACCTGATTGGGTTGCGCCTGCACAGGGCAAGAAATAAACACAATGTCTCGTCTAATCGACAGTTTGATCGAGAAATTGATGGAATTACCGAACACACTGTTCTTCCAGGCAGTTGATGCCAGAATAATTAACACGCTGGCTTACACACACCGATGCAGGGTAGCTGTGCGCGCAACCCGCAATGGGTAATTAGTCATGAATCAGATTGTTCTCTAAGCTGCCCACGGAAACCCCTGATGACTATTGATTTTTCTGTTGGGCAATCGGTCAGACAAACACGAAGCAACTCAGAGAATTAACTGAATTACGGAGGAAAAGAGGCTGTAACTGTGATGTGTACGGGTGAATGTTTGAGGAGGTTATTAGTAATGGTAGATATAGAGAAATAGAACCAATGGGTTGGGAGTCGGGTTGGAAGAATGGGACGAAAAGGAACGGATTGCATATGATTTGCCTGATTTTTTCCCCATCTGACGACTACAGGATAATTGTTCAACGTTTACTCACCTCGGGAGCTTTTATATCCCTGATTGAATTCTTTGATTCCTCGTGATAGCCGTTAACACGTTTTGGTTGGTAGTAGCGGTACGGATAGTATTGTGTATAAATATGTGATTGAGTGGGAGAACACACTTGGGGGTACACTGAAGCATCCAGTGGATCTGGGGTTCATCCATTTTTCATAGACTGCCTCGTTTCTTCTATCAGCGTCATTTTGTGCACGACTGGCCGCTCTTGGACTGCACTGCATTGCTGTTTTGGTTGTGGTACCAATAGAAAAAACCGGTGATTTGATAGCAAGACGATCTTTACGTTTGCACTGAATGAGTTCCGCATTCGGCTAGGTACAAGTGAACTTTGGTCACTCCCAACAAGTTTGCATTTAGGTATCTTTTTTATTTGAAACGGTTTTCCTGTTTCAGGATGACCGTGAACAATTTTCAGAAGAAAGTTGTCTATTACAAGTAATAATTTCTTTAATTCTAATAACCTAATTAGCATCAGCTGTAAAGACGATATTTTGGAAGAGGGCTGAGGCTAATCAAAGGCTATCGCGCTAAGAAAAGTTAGAAAATTTGTAACACGCTGGTCACGGGTTTGAACTCATGAACTTCGGTTTAAGGCGTGGTCGTCTACAAATCCCAATCACCACCAGGTCGCAAGAAAGTAAGTACTGGTCATAATAACCACAAATATATGGGTAAAAAGCCTTTATATTCCAGTAAATGATCACAGTTTTAGCCACAAGGGCAAGCGAAGCAAAACTATTCATAAATATTTTGAATAGAACACAAAGTAGCGAACAAGACTTGTTTTTAATGATTCACCTTCTTTGGCTAATAACACATAATTTATATAACTCGGTTGAATATGTTGAATACGTTTCATGGTTGCCTCTTGGGTCACATAAATCTCAAATGGAAGAGTGGATTCAGTTTTCGTCAGTATGGCATAGTACAGTTTACATTAAATCAAAATCAGTTTGAGCTGGTAGTTCCTGACCTCGACCAAAACGACGGCTGTCAGACATTCTACTGAACGTGTTCTTGGCTATCGCCGTGGACAATTTGGCTGATACTGGTTCGGGAGAGGAGAAAAAAGATGACACGGAGCAGAAAACGGACAATGAGACACAAGAAAACACGGGTGATGCCACTTCCGGGTTGACAGCGGACGCTCTCACACGCCGTATGAGCAGAGATCCAGCAACGCTGGCAAACGGAAGCAGTCTGACGGAGAAAGTTCATCACGAATTCAATGATGTAACCCAGCTTTTGGACCAGCTGAAGTGAGTCGGTCCCACTTTTTGATCGTCGCTATTTTTTGCTCAAATTTCAAAAGAATCACTTACATTTCTGTCGAAAATAAACGTTTTGAAGACAGATGAATAAACAAGTTGCCTGTCCGATGTGAATAATTTGATGGCTTGTTTACTTATCTACTTGTGACAATGTATTTTAAAAATTCACGAATAATCGTACAATGCAGCACATTAAGGACATTCCGAGCAAAACATCGGTTTTCGTTTGTTTGTGTGCGTCTGTATGAAAGAGACAGAGATGATAGTAATTTTGATGAGTCCTAAATATATCATCGCATAGAGAAGTGTCTGTTTTACAATGCAGTAGTGTAAAACACAATCGTCTATTGCGCCGGTGGCAGCTCACTTACAGCTCTGAGTTTCTTTTTATCTATCGTAAATTTTGTTTTTGCTGGTCAACGAAGAACACTGAGCAGCACATTCGTCCCGGTTGAACTCTGCTGTGGCACAGCGCACTTTTTCTGTGACCAAAACGGGACAAGAAATGCAAATCTGTGGGCTGGGAGCCTTTGCCCCCGAGAACTACACGGCTGAACAATAATTTTCACGGTCTCATGTAAGCGAATTCGATCGCGTTTGGATTCTCGACGGAAGTTCAGGGAACCCGCCCAATAGGTTAGCGGAGAAAGTGAATACTATTTTTGCAAATTCGGCTCACTCCTCTTGATCGACTTGTTCGATCAAACATTTTCCCTTTTATTTATCTCAAATGCCTTGCTAACAGTGATCAGGACTAAAAAGTACGAGATAGACCGGTGTTTGTTCAAAGCTAATAGCTTATCGCATTTTTTCATTCTTTATTTGTCTTTCTTGTTTGTTCTCCCGTCTAAAAATAACAGTCTCGATCCGATTAACGAGGAGGAGGAGGAGGATAAATCTGCCACGGAAAAGGGCAAAGAACTGGAAGGTATGACATGATAAAATGCAGCTATGTGAACTTGAGCATGTGATCGTCTCTTTGTGTGTTTGTGTGTTTGTGTGTTCTCAGATGAAAGATCGATTAAATTAAGCAAGGTCAACAGAATCAATATTTCCTTCGCGGAGTTGATACAATCATTATCGGAGCAGGTGATTGTTATTCTTTAATTTGTGTCTATTCCGTGTTTCGGCGAGCTACCTTTGCCGAATAATTTTCATATTATGCACGAAGTTTCTATTAGGACAGAAATGAATAAGACATTGAGACGAAGTAACGGAGCTTTGAGAGATTCCTTACTTGAAAGAGAAGAGTGGCTCATTTTACACTGTGTAAAAATAACTCGAAATTACCTGTGGAAAATCTAATTACAAGATAACCTTCTTAAGATGCCGTAGACCTGTTTCGGATGCACTGGCAATTTAGCGCAGATTATATCATACGTGGTATCATTTGATTTGTAAGAACAGTCACGAAAATGTTCTCCGCTTATTGTTTCAATTAGCCGAAGGAAAAATCGAACCAGTGGAGGGAACGGAAGAGCAGAAGGAGGAAGATGGTGAAGACACAAATGAAGTGCAAACGAAAGAATCCGTTGGTTCACGACGTACCTCTGAACCGAATGGGGCCAGTAAAATCAAACCCATTCCCAACGCGTCTTCATTCTTTATCTTCAGTCCAACAAACCCGTGAGTGGTCACTCCAGTTTCAATGATTACGTATGAAAATCGAACATCAACTATTGAAAAGCTTCACATCACTTTATTCCTTAGTGGATTAACACCTGATTTATTTTATTCGGGAAAAAAGCGAGTTTTGGAATACCATATTTTCGCGACTGCGCACGACATATTTTGAAATAGGTATGTGGTAGGAGCAGTAAATTTGAAGTGGAATACTGGCGGACGTATTACTTCGGTCTGGG